CCCCCCCCCCTCTTTTCAGTATCTCACTCTCTATATAAAACGAAGCCAAGTTGACTGAATTGACGTCCAATAGTTATGAAACTCATAAATAGTTTTAATACCATTTTTCCCCCAGCTAATTTCATTTTTTTCTAACAGACTATAATGCTAACCCAGTTTTCGATTCATAAAGTTATAATATAATAGTCTTTAAATCAAAGTCAAAACATGAAATTTAAGTACACTCCTTTCTTTTAAGCCCTTGCTGAGATGCGGTTGAGAAAACCATTATACAGTACATGTTGCTACCTCCCACACACTGGAAAGTTGACGGCCACTGCATTGCCAGTGTGGAAAAAAAAACATGTAACTTAGGCTTTACTAAAGTCAGTTTACCAGCTGATAAGAATCGGCATGTACCACACATGTACGATTAAAATTGGCTGACCAAAATTGTGCAAATGAGGACCCCACTGCCAGCTAAAATTGCATTATGTGTGCCAGGCTTTATGAGTTACAACGCGAGCCTTTTAGGCAATATTCTGCAGAGTGGTTGGCCCCTTTTGCCTACTGTGTCTGCCATTGCTATGTGTGTAAGTAAACTAAAAGAGGCATTGTTATTATTACAGAATTTAAAGCAAGATGATGCCCAACATGAAAGCAATTTCAATGGACGAAAGCTTAAAGATTTGCTCGGCAGTTGTGCACATTACAACACTCAGGCGAGAGAAGACGCTTTATTGGGCCTTAAGAATTTATTCCAGGGCAACCCAATCATTTTAAAACATAATTTAAATGCTGTTTTGCAACGAATTCTTAGTTTGATAACAGATCTTGAAAGTTCAGTTCGCAAAGCATTTCTGATGCTAATTTCACTTGTATTCAAATCTATTTCTGAAACTGAAATTTCACCATTTTTTCAAATATTGTTGCATATCTTTGTTCAGCCATGACCCACCTAAACGAGAACATCCGCTTGGATTCAATGAAATTCCTTGATCTATGCCTCAAGTTCTTCCCGCAATTAGTCAAGGCCAATCCAAAGAATATCATATTGAATTTCATGAATGTTATATCTGTTGAAAAATCGGGCATGGCGAAGAACCGTGTAATTCCCATAAAGGCTGGGTTGAAAGCTAAAGTGATGGTGCAGAAAACACAATTAGAAGTTTTGAGCAGATTGAATCGCCTGTTATGTGTGGTTTTCGGTGACGCTTCTGAATCTAGCAGTATTGATAGCGAATCTATTACTTTTTCCAATCTTGACCCAACGCTACTCTCAAATTTCTCGTTGAAGACAACTTTGTCTGAATTCCAAACTTTGACAACTAATGAGGATTGGCTGAAGGAGTTTATTTCGAACTTGTCACCAGTTTTATTTGAGTACTGGGTTGAATGTTGTCCAGCCGAATTCAAGACAAATCTAATTCCCATAAACAAGGCGTCAGTTCCAATACAAATCATGAAGGAAATTCTGGAAATCTTCGTGACTTTGGTTGAAAGCTTGAAGAAGAATAGCTCGGTTCAGGAATCGTTCCACGGATTTTTGAACAGCGATTTGTCAGTCCAGTTTGATGCGCATTTAACCAAAGCGTTTCCACTAAGTTTTACATTTAAGCAATCTGGGAAAAAGTCGGTTCAGTCGGTAGAAAATATCACAGATGTCCAATTGAATATTCTAGTTGCTCGGTTATTGTGCTATCATATTGGTGAGATTAAGAATGTTAAAAAGCTTCCAAGGTGGGCATCGGAAGTCCTTTCCTACATTCAAAAAGTGTTGCCTTCTAAAAACATTGACAGACAACAGTCTAAATTAATTGCATCTGATATCCAGTCCCTAACTAGCCTTGTCAAAGTGTTTTTACTGAATTTGCCCAAGCAGTTTGAAAATGAAAAAGTCCAGCTACTGCAAAGCATGTATTGTTTATTCGAGCGTTCTTTTCGGGACTCAAATACCAAAAAGGTCCTGTTAGATTTCTTAGCAGAAATTGTCAACGGCGCAAGAAACCCAAACAACCCGATGATAACCATATTGGACAAATGGCTGACGTCTTTATTAGGTATACTTATCAAGGAAAACAGTCAAGATTTGCGATACAAAATATTCTTCATTTGTAAATCTGGAATCTTGCAACGATTTCCTCGTCTCACAATTGCAATGGCCAAAGCACTACCTCGTGTGTTTGCAGTGGAGAGCTTTTCAAAGTTGAGTGAGAAAGTCCAACGACTTGTCATCGAAGTTTTGTATCACAGTGGTCAAGTCCCGTCTCGAGAATTGTATGATGTTTTTGCTAAGTTGTGTAATTCTGGTTGCCTGCTGTTGCCTGTAAGCAAGTACCTATTATTTGTGATACATCAATTGGTTCATTCCAAACCAAGTAACTCCCTCGTGACTATAGCAGACTATCTAAGCTTCATCCTATCGATTGCGATGGGCCACACACAGGACGAACTTGAACACATGCAAGCCTACCGAGAAGGACACCCCAACTGTTACAATTTTAAAGAAATCTGCAAGAGATGTACAATTGTTGCTGAGTTTGAAAGCAACAACACTAATCCCCAAATAACAAGGGAAAGCTTGGAACACGCAAATAAAGTTATCGAGATTATTTGCAATCTTTTAGCTCAGTCCGATTATTGTTCAAGATTGCTTGAAATGCTTGAGGCTCCACTTTGTACAGTGTTTAGCAGATATCCAACACTACCACTTTTGGTGGTGTATCGATTACTCTACTTGATTAAGAAGCTTCTGCAGTCAACAAACGAAAGAGGCGCTACAGAACTTCTAGCACCTGTTGCGACTTGGTGTGCGATAATGTGGCATTTCTTGCTAAAGGTCTGGTCATTGTTTGGGAAAGCGAATTTCATACAAACGCTTACCAACCATCTACAACCTGTAATTTCAGAGCTATGCAAGTCTTCTGAAACTATTCTCAAGAGTATGCTGGATTTATTTATCCCATGCACAATGCCTGGTTTCAAGCCTCGGTTAGCATGTCAAGTACTTACCGAGATGTTTAAAGAGTTACAGGGTAGCTTTACTTCAGTTCACCAATCTGTGCTGAAAGATCTATACATAAATCTGGAATGTGCTTGCAACAATGAGACATTGGACAGTCAGATATTTTCAGACTTTAAGTATCAATATCAAAGTTGTGTGAAGAAGCTTCTGGTATGTGACCAAATATAGAAACGAACGCTTACTAACCATCTTCAACTGGTAATTTCAGAGCTGTGCAAGTCTTAAATTCTGAAACTATTCTCAAGAGACTTAGAGAATGCTGGATTTATTTATCCCATGTACAATGTTAACATGTCAAGTACTTACTGAGATGCTTACAGACAGATATGTTCAGACTTTAAGTATCAATATCAAAGTTGTGTGAAGACGTTTCTGATATGTGAACAAGTATAGCAGAATTAACAAGCCGGTATGTACTATGCAATATCTTATTTTATTTATATTGTATTGACGGTTGGCAGATCCTACTGTAGTAAATAAATTGACCATTGTTGCACAAGGTAGCAGCAGTACTTTTAAATATGAACAAGCTTTCATTGGCAGGGATGCAACTACCTGAAAAATATAAGGAGAATTTCGATGTTTCGAGCGAAGGCCCTTCGTCTGGAATTACTTGAATTCAAATTTAATCCTACCAACGAAAGCTTGTTCATATTATTGGCACTACCTACACTGGCACAGACAGTATTTTCAAGTATGGACAACAATTGCTACAGTATACAGTAACCTACAACAAGTGCATTTCATCAAGGTGAACAACTGTATAATAAACTGGTGTTATGTACTTGGGTGAATATGATGTTTGTGATGTTACTCTGAGTGTGCATCCATTGACCTCATAGCTCAGTTGGCAGAGCATTGGACAAGTTCCCAAAGGTCACTGGTTCAATTCCCACCGTGTGCACACTCAAGTAACATCACAAACATCAAGTATAGTAAAATTAACAAGTATGTACTATGCAATATATAATTTATTTATATTGTATTAACGGTTGGCAAATGCTTCTGTAATAAATAAATTGGCCATAATATGTTGCACAAGGTAGCAGTCCTTTTAAGGTAAACAATATATTACATTTTCTTCTATAGACAACAATTACTATACAGTACCCTAAAACAAGTGCATTTTATCAACTGGTGATCCACTTTGCCAGCCTAGACCCAGGGCCTTTACTTGGCAGGTGGCACTTGATTTGTAGGTTAAATTAAATTAATCGACTTAAAGTCTTCTCATGAAAAAAGCACCGAAATATACCTAGAAAGCTGTAGGTCTAGGCCATTGAACTATAAATAAACTGGAAGGCTAACTCAGGGGGGGAAATTGAAGCCAGTGCATTTTAGTTTTTCTGAGTTATGAGCAGAAATACTCAACACTGAACGTTGGGCTATATATCAAATTGAAGCTATTGAAAAACACTATTTGGTGTAGAAATTTGAAGACTTTAGCTAAAAGGGAAATATTGAAAAACTACAAACATAATTACCGATAATTTGCCGTTTTGCAGTTGTTTTCGTATTTTTTAAATATTTTTCTTTTTGCTGAAGTCTTGAAATTTCCACACCGAATAGCAATTTTCAATAGCTTCAATTTGATATATAGCCCGACGTATGGGGTCAAGTATTTCTGCTCATAACTCAGAAAAACTATTTTGGCTTCATCAAATCATAGGCCTTCATCATAGCAGTTAGCCTTCCAGTTTATTTATAGTTCAATGGTCTAGGCTGACACAGTATCTTTGTCACAATTTTTGCCTCAAGCATATTTGTGGTTGCATCACCATATCATGTTGCGAACTTCTGCTTCATAGATATGTGGCATCATTCCTAAATAGCAATATGGTGATATGGTGAATTCTTGATGGAAAGTTTGTGTCACACAACCGAGATATCGGGCGCACAATGTTGATACTTTCTACATAGTTACTACGGTATTAATTTTGTTAAATCTTGGGTGCGCAATTGTCAAACTTTTCAGTCAGGAGTGTGTGTGTCACATATGGTCAGCACACACCCCTTGCAGAGTTCAGCCGGCTGCTGAAGGTAGGGTAATTTGTGTTATTACCTAAACGTGTAGGGACCATCGTCACAGTATTTTTTCCAAACAATTTTTTCTCGTATTCAATTAGCTGTGTCCAGAAGCCATTATTCGGTCTGATCATTTTCCTTTTTGATTTCACCAGATAATGTGCTTCCACAAGACTTAGGTTTTGGTATTTCATTAAATATGCAAGGACGAGAGTTGATGATCTGAACGACATAAGTTCATGTTCATTAAAGTTTATAGCAATGTTGTTAGTGCAATGGGTAAGGGCCAACATTTTTCTGTGACAAGGAAAATCATTTGGCATTAGAAAGAGTAAAATACCAGTGTGGTTTAACAGCTTAATCCATTAAGTTGCACCCCAATGTGCCTTACTTCTAATTTTACTCCAGTGTCTAACGCCAGATGATTTCACTCGTCAAGAGGAGAGTGCTAGTGCTCAATGGGTTAACAATTTTATACCTGCTTATGCCTGCCACACAATGGACAAAGACCTTTTGATTTTGCTGTCGTCTTCCTTCTGTTAATGCAAAGAAAACATTTGCAGCACAGCTATGGTCGTGCTTGTTGGAAATTTGTCAGAAAAACGTAAAATCCTCAAGCTCACCAATGAGATCTGACACTTTGTCGAAATGTTCATCGATTTTCGCTCCTGGCATATCGCCAATTTTTATTCTGAATTTTTCAATCCCATGAGAATCATAATCTGGCATTTCCATAGTAGCTGGAATATTAAAGTAGTGTTATGCTAAAAATCATGGTAACAATTGAGTATTTTTACAAAATATAAAACAATGGTAACTCTGAAATTGAATTTTTTATTCTTCATGCCTAAGGGGCTATTTATATGGAAGCTGGGATAGCCTGCTTAGTGAGACCATAGATATCTTATATAAACTAGATAGCGCATCTCTTTTAGTAAAATTGAAGCCAAGAATATTCCAGCATTTACCCCCATTTGAATAGATGACGGCCATGTTGGTCGTTCCCACTTGCTAATAAACGCTTAAAAAACAACAATAACTTTCATCATTTCAATAGTTTGAAAATGTATTTGGAAAAGGTTTAACTTAATGTTTAAGTTCCCTGTTTAAGAAATAGAAAACATACGAGTCTTCTCATTTCGTGGGAATATCCTGAGTCTGCAATCACGGCTTCAATTTTTGAATTGCAGAATAATTAGATGCACTATCTAGTGTATATAAGATACTGTATCTATGAGTGAGACAGCCAGGTAATCGAGATCTCAATGTGCCCATTTTTATATTTTTCTCCATATACTGTAAACAGTCGCAAGCAGGCTGACCCGGTTGTCGGGATGAAAGTTTAAAGATGCCGCCACAATCTATTTTTAGCAACTATCAAAACAAGCAAGCAGAATGAAACTTTCTCATATAAATACAAGAGAAATTCATCCTGTTTGCCGGGCTATCTTGCCAAGCGGGCTAAACAGCCCCTAACAGAGGAATACACCACTCTCCTGTGTTTAATAGAGAGGGAAGTTTCTTGGAGAGAGAGTAAGTTGAAACATAAATTAATACACATGTTTGTTTCTAAATCTATGATGCATAAATTCTAGGGACTTCCAAGAAAATGAAAAGACAAATATGGAGGAACATTCTTGATCACTTTTAAAAATGTAAATACCATTGATAATTAAGTTAATGCCGTTTTCCAGTAGAAAATCTTTTTTAACGCCAGCTATTCCTCCTAGATAAAGATAATCTGTGATCGCGTCCACACGTTCCATAGAGAACAATTGTAAACAAAAACATCTATAAAATTCGAAAATTTTCTATTTGTTTTTGAGTAAATATTCCAAATATTAATTATTAATTTGTTCTAGAGCTTCCACTTTAAAGGATAATTTTCCTACGAAAGGAAATTTGAAGAAAAGAAATTTTTCTTCGCAGTGAAATTTTTTATCTTAGGAAGTGGAAGCACAATCTCGTTCTTTTACATCCGAGCCCGCAATGCCAACCACTGACCAGCCAGAATCACCCAAAATGCATTGCGCGGAAACGAACGTTCTTTCCTTTGGCTCTTTCGCAAAGAAGGTAAAGCATGAAGTATAATTGAATAAAATCCCTCTTTTTTATTAGTAATCCTTTCGATTTTTAGCGAAATAACACCATAAATATATTGTTACGTTTATGAGCTACCAAATTCTGTTCATATTTTGTTGTGTGAAGGTGAAAAGTTGCAAAAATCGCCCCCCAAAAATGTTGGGTAAAGCTGACTATTTTGTTGTTTTTTTGTTGTAGCGAAAATGGTGAGCCCCGTCTACAAACCGAATATCGTTAAAAAGCGAAGAAAGAGGTTCATTCGCCATCAATCTGACCGTTTTATGCGTGTAGCTGTGAGTATATTTATATATACAATAAAATTAAATGTATTTTTATATATACAAGTCAAATAGTCATGGACCCATGGTACACTCAGTTTAACTTATGATCTTCATTGCTACAACTAGTTGCGGGTCATATATAATGTCTAGATTGCAGAGTTGGGCTGCTTTTGACAGGATATTGGGGTGCAAAAGCTATAAAACTAGAGGCAATAGTGTAAACCCGTAAATATTTCTAAGGGCATATCCATGCTGGTCATATTCAGAAATTTTCTTCCTGTACCACAGGCTCGCATTTTCAGCGGACTTGCAGTGAAAAACTGAAACTTTTGCCCTGAACTGGCAACTTTCTGTAAGATCTCCACAGACAATACGAGCCTCCACGAGTGGGAGAAATTTTGCTAAATTTGACCAACGTGATCAACAGGCAAAGCACATAAGTAACAAAATAAATAAGTATTATTGTTGATTTCACTTTTCAACGTGCGAGTCCCAAATTTGTTGCGAATTTGCCAATTACGTTTCCAAGTTGGAAAATTGGACAAACTTTGCAACGAAGTTCTCAAGTTCATTTCAATGTTTAAACTTCATTTGTAAACAAATGTTCATAGCTCAGTGTAATAATTCAATGAAATACAAACCTACCAATGGAGACCATTTGTTCTCATTAGAAGTTCAAACGTTGACTTTGTTTCGAAGTTCATGTTTGATTTTTGAACTTGGAAACGTAGTTTGCAACGAACTTGGGAACCCACATGCTGAAAAGTGACCTAAAATTGACAATGAAAATTAGAAATTTGTGGGCAGGTTAGAATCTGAAAATTGTTTATACAAAGCAATTTTAGAGGACGTCTTGGGGACACCATTGAACAACTTTACAGTCTGGTATAACGAACCCTTCTATCAACTGTGTCGTGCTCGTATCTTATGTTAATATTGCATATTGCATCGCTTGTTAATTCTATGAATTTCAAGTGTTTGTTAATTATCATATTATCTTAGACATGAGAGTATTGATATAAATAGAAGGAAGATTAACATGCATTAACAACAAGACATGTTGAAGGCCACTTTCTTAATGTCTTTTGATTCGTGTCTTCTTGTACAAAATGCTACAAACATATTTCATTTATTACCGTTGTGAGTAATATAGATCCCAACAAGAAATATCCTTGGCTATGTTTATGGTTTTTTGACCCACCCTCGGTCACAGACATTGTCCAATCCATTCATGAAGTTGTCCGACGTAGAGAGGAAACCCCTGGGCATTCTGTCCGACCTAACTGTAACTTTGTCCAACGTGAATCAAAATGGACCAGAGCTTTTAAATGGAAATCATCCAGTAATGTATAAAAAGTGAATTGGAAATTTGTAATCACTATGGGGATGGGAAATTTATTGCCAAGATTCAATTGACTTCCAAATTGTGCTGATATTATTTTGTTTCTTTATTCATACATATTTCCAAGCCCAACTGAACTCAAAGTCCATCGGACATCATAGTATATTTGTCTGAGCGAAACTCGAACTCATCAAACATTTTGTCAGACGGTTCTCTGATCGATATTTTAAGGCCTGCGATAGTGAAACCCACTTATGATATTTGAAGAATTGAAGTCATTTTATGACAAAAGTTGCTTACATTAAAACATCTGAGTGATTATAATCTCTATATATGGATACGGTTTGTGGAGTGCTAGCAAAAGTAGGATATATTTGAGGGTAGGTTTCCCACTTTGCTTATCACTTTTGCTAATTTTATTTCTCAGCAAAGCTGGCGTAAACCGAAAGGAATTGACAATTGCGTGCGCCGACGGTTCCGAGGAACACGTCTCATGCCAAGTATTGGTTATGGATCTAACAAGAAAACCAGACATATGATGCCTGATGGCTTCAAGAAATTTGTCATCCATAATATTGCAGTGAGTATTACTGGATACTGGTTACTCTGTTTTTAAAACCTAGTATAATAAGCACCCAAAACTTTCCACTTGACAAGTAAGACCACACAAGGCTTCTTTGTATAATATAGACACTAGCTTCACCAACAACGTCCTTGTGAGTACTTGGTCGTCTGGTGGGCAGAACTATGGTAATATAAACTCGAACTTTGGTACTCATAATGTAGAATCAACAAACGTTTTTTGTAAAGATAAATTCTCCAGAGCAGGGGGGGGTGCCTTAAAAATAGCTTGCACATGAAATTTCAAAGTTTAAAACGCATTTTGAGTTCATGGGCAAGAATGTTATTATGTGTTTTATTAATGGTCCAAATATCAGAAAATTTACTCAATTTTAAGTCCTTCAAATAGCTCCCAAAACTTTCATTTTTTGGCACCAAAGCCTATTAGCCATTCCGGAGTTGATGAGTGGACTGGGGACAAGTGTTAAAAAGTGCCCAAATTAAGAAATAAGCCAAATCACTGAAAAGACCACCTCAAATTAGTAAGTATACAAAGTTTGAAGACGTTTGCATGAATAACCCTTTGAATAATAAGCTTTCGAAAGTTGTGAAATTACTGATTAATTAAAAGATTGTTTTTGGGACGCGCGTCCCAAATACAAAAATTACAGTACATTTCATAGTAAATATCGCGATTTTCGAAAGCTTATTATTTCAAGGGTATTCATGTATAAATGTCTTCAAACTTTGTATACTTACTAATTTTGAGGTGGTCTTTTTAGTGATTTGGTTCATTTCTAAATTTGGGCACTTTTTAACACTTGTCCCCAGTCCTCTCATCAACTTCAGAATGGCTAATTGCACATGTAAGCTTAATTCATGCATATACCTAACATGCATACTGTTATTGTAGAAAGTATAAAATATATTTATCCATTGTTGGATTCTAGGGGGTATCCGGCCTGTATACACCACACAGACCTCTTAAGAATTAGGTAATCTTCTCTAAAAGCACCATGTTGTCTTGACACAATAGCAGCATTGGTCGTTGACGGGAAGAAGAGCAATGCAAGGCCTTCGGGTGAAGTGTTTGAGGATTATTCCTGTGACATTCAACTTCAATCAGGCTTGCTACAACTTTATCAAGTGGCGAATGATGCATACATACTGTGTTTTCATACATGCATACAACTCGAAAGAATTGACCACTTGTGTAATAGACTAAATTTTGATCTCAACAAAAATTTCATCACAGCTTGAAAGAGCATCACAAAATTAGTAATATTCTGAAGTTTCGTTGCGAAATGTTGTAAAATGCGGATAATATAGCCTTGCGAAGTTTGCCATTTTCCAGTCATTTTAGATTACAAACGGGAAATTGACAGCCCAATACCCTTTGGGGCTGTCAATTTCCTGTTTGTAATCTAAAATGACTGAAAATTGCAAACTTCACAAGGCTATATTTTCCGCATTTTACAACATTTCGCAACGAAACTTTGGAATATTACTAATTTTGTGATGCTCTTTCAAGCTGTGATGAAATTTTTGTCTAGACTTGTTTAGATCAAAATTTAGTCTATTATGCAAATGGTCAATTACAGTACATTTTAATATTGTCAAGGCGTGTTTATACTTGCAATTTTCACTGTGATTTCTACACCGAATGTAAACACCATGTGATTTTGACTGCAACTTTGGTGCAACAACAACAGTGCGATATGCAGCGATTTTACTGGCTTGAAAACTGGATTAAATTTTCAATACTTCACTCAAGTTTACAAACAATACAAAGAATTTGTTCTAATTAGGTTGTTTACAGCTATTTTCTTACAAGTGGTTGGCTGTAAGACAAAATTCCTGACTGGTTGTTGCCTGTTTCAGTGTATTCTATATAAATACAGTGTCAGGCCAAGATTTATATCATGCAAAATGAGCCTGAAACTTAAAACTAGACCTCGACAGACCACCTTATTGTGCTAAGACCAATTTTCTATTTGCTTTCAGGAACTCGAAGTTCTGTTGATGTCCAATCGTCGTTTTGCTGCTGAGATTGCGCACAACGTGTCAAGCAGGAAACGTAAGCAGATTGTTGAGCGTGCTCAGCAACTGGCTATCAAAGTCACAAACTTTAACGCCAAGTTACGAAGCGAGGAAAACGAGTGATCGTTTGTACAATAAATTATATCACTTGGATCTCTTGTGAGTGTTCTTGTTGTGTGATTTTATTTGTGTGAATAGAAAACTAGATTGGGTGCAAGTTTCCTCCCACCCCCTGAAATATTATGGCTAATTTGAAAGCCCCCTCGTCAACTAAACTGTTATTGGGGTATTGGAATAATACTAAGTACAGATGCCAAAAAGATACTGAGACTTGAGTATAGGTATTTTCCCATTTCAAAAAGTCCCTTGGGGTATGAATTATAGACAAAAAATTGGTTCGGAAAGTTTTTTTCATATAGATTTTAAGGAGATTTCACGAAACGTTTTGATTTCAGCCATATTGGTCTTATTGCACATCCTTTTTCAGCACAAAAATACAAATTTAGGGATCATATTACAAAAAGAAATCTTAATTTGTTCATTTTGCCAAATAAATGAAATTAACAAGTGTGCAACAACTGTAAGACGGAAGTGCATGTTATAGAATTGATAAAACTTGCTTCACATTTTCCCGTTTTCACACGAATTTTTACTTCGCCAAATCTGAGAATTTTACTTCACAAAGTGCGAACCATTAATTCATAGTCTGTAACTAATGCCTTAATAGTCTTTCTATGCCAAAAATTTTGTTTGCTAATTGCAAAAAGCTTAATTTAGCCATTAATATCATAGGCTGCCCAAAAGTGCGTGTTGTAATTTTTACCCTCGCGCGTGGCGCTCGGGCATGCATCGAGTCTACTCAGTTTATTATTATTATTGTCATAATAATAAACTGAGTAGACTCGATGCATGCCCGAGCTCCACGCGCGAGGGTAAAAATTACAACACGCACTTTTGGGCAGCCTATGTTAATATGTGGTAACCTACACTGAGGCTAACATCTGATGATTTCACTTAAAATGGCAGAGGGATTCATTGCCTATATTATCAAGTCAAAACCATCAGGTCTATAATGATTTTGGAATAAAATGCCTCCTGTTTATTATATTACTCAAATTTTGAGTGCACAAGATGATGCTTCTGTTCGGAATGTGTTGTGTTAAATTTCTTAACATTGTCGGTTGAAAATGGATTACGTCATTCAATAGTCTGTACCAGTATTGGTAGTGGCAATAATAAGAAAGATTGATAGGGATACAACTACTGAGAAATACAAGGAGAACCTCGACGTTTCGAGGGAAGGCCATCGTTCAACATGTTGTCCAGAGATGGATAGAATAGGCACGCGAGCACACCTTGCAGGAATTTTTAAAAGGCAGCACTCAGCAGGAAATGTGTTAAGGTTGAAGATTAGACACGCGTGTCACAGGCAGATTAGGCGCAAAGTGAACAGGCCTTGTTCTTTAAAATGATCTATTCCATGCTTATCCCTTGCAGACCTTAGTTACAATTCATTCTAGCGTAGTTAATAGAATCTTGAATGGTTTCTGTCAGTTTAGGTAGCGCCAATATAAGAAAGCTTCGGATGATACGGATACAACTGTCAGAAAAATACGAGTAAAACTTCGACATTTCAAAACCTTCGACGGAAAGTTTATAGTAGGCTGTTCGTCGGAAAGCTTTCTTGTTAATAGAAGAGAATACAAGGCTTGGAAACTTGTTGAAACTCATGACTCGTCCATGTTGGTCTACGTTTTGGGGAAAAAATTATGCAAAAAACCGGCTGCACAACTGCTTAGCAACGGTCAAGTTCAAATTTATGATAGCTGTAAACAAAACGGTGGTTACTATGGACTTATTTTCATACCATGGCAGAATTATTCATGCAACTACAGTTTTGTCAATATTTGCAGAACACCGAGTCAATTCATAAAATGTACAACAACTTAACCCAAATAAAGAGTCCATTCTATTTCTCTACAGTTTGACTATATTTTACCCATCATTCCTGCAGATGACTAAAAATACTGTAGAGAAATAATAATTCTTTCTTTATTTGAAGTTAATCGTTGTACGTCGTGTATAAAAGTCAATATTGATACGAGAATTACCATGTGTTAGACAGTCTTTAATATCTTTCTGTTGGCAAGGGTTTTATTAAACAGGCAAACAAAGTATGGTGTGAATTCAGGGCATTAGGAAGGATTAGCAAAAAGAGCACACAGCTTAACAAGGGATTATTTTTCTGCCTCGTTGATCACCGAGTGCACGTTAACGAGATTACGATGACTTCATAAAATACCTTTCGCTGTGATTTTTACTATGGAGTATGGGAAAGAAATGCAATTTAGCTGAACTGTGTCTGTGAACTTATTTCAATACACGAAATCAATAAAATTTGGGGAAAAACAAAAGTGAAAATGAAATATACGAACGATATATCCACAACCACATTGTCATTGAAAATGAACACATCATTGTCAAATATTTATAGAGTTGATTGAAGCCTGATTTTGATCGGACTGGTTTTGTACTAAAGTCTGGTTTAAACTATCAAAGTTTCTGTGATCACAGTAGGAATTTTGCATAGGTAAATTCTAAGTTTGAAGAATTTGTAAAAAATGTTTTGAAGGAACTGACTCTGTGATTAACACTGAATCGGTTCCTTCGAACATTTCTTACAAATCCTTCAAAACTTTACAGAATTTACAAAATTCATATCACAGTAACTTTGATAGTGTAAACCCATGTTCAATCAATTTCCAGATCATTGTTGTGCCAGAACCATTTGCATTAAAACATTTTATGTACATTACCAATATTTTCTAATCTTGATAAGAATAATTTACAGTTTGTTTGGCAACTAAGATTAATTCTGAAGCCCTGTACAAGTTTTATTTGCTCATGTACAAGGAGTCGTGTTCCAAAGCTAGTCTTGCCAGCTTTTGGACGAGGAAAATTTTTTTCGCGTGTACGACCGCCAAGGAAAACTTGTGTACAAGTAATACTTCGTGGCTTTGGCAAACAAAAGGTTGCCTTGACGTGAGTAAGTACGCAGATAGCAAGACTGAGTTCCGCGTGGTACTTGGTCGAAATCAAAGAAGTACCAAGCCGTAATATTGGCATACCCTGACTGCAATTAAATTCGTACTAATTGCAGAGATGTTAAAACTCCATCTTGCGCTTGACACAGCCAAATGCAAACCCTTGTATCCATGATTCAAGCTTATCAATTCCAAGTATTTACATAGCCGATAGCCTGTGTTGCGTCCAAATCTCACATCACTCCTGTCCAGAATTGTGAAGCCATCTTACCAGTTCAGTTTTTTTGCTTTCATGTTTATCAAAACTATCTTTTTCTCTCGCAACATGTTCGTCCAATAAATTCTTGTTAAGAATACTTGATTTTGAAAACTCTTTAGAACTTATAGCAGTCTTAGTAACTTTCATCTCGGGCTTTATGAGATTTCTGTACTTGCTCAATTTGAAGATGCTTATTTCAGTCTGCTTCTCTGCTGGTGAAAGATTCGAGTTTCTAGTTGAGCTCTCTGAAGTGTTGGGTCGTTTTCCTGTAGTTTTGGGTCGTTCCACGACAGAGGGTATAAAGTTTGAATCATGGTCGTTTAAGCTGGGTAATCCATAGCCATAGGGCAACCTTGTAGTTTTCAAACAACGTTCACTTCGTGGTCTCCTAGCCGCTATTGCTTTAACATCCGGTTCAAGTAGGGTCGGTAACCGTACGATATTTGGTACTTTTGAAACTGTAGGTAGGAATAGCTGTCCGTTTTCGCCTGACATTGGCTTGGAATGATGCCGGGTACTCGTCATCATGCAGGTGCCTTGTAACGACCGGCACCGAATGATTGTTGATCTCTGTTGTTTGCTCTCGTATCAAGTTTCGTGGAATGTTGAGGTCACGTGACGTCATGAGGGGGTCCTGATGGAAAACGTAGTTCTGCCTAATTTCGAGATGACGAAATCATCTCTCCTGCCGTGCGCCTAAGCTCGCGACGAGATCACGTTTTAGAAATGCGTGCTACACGCAGAAGAATAACACGTTAGGAAACGCATTCAGTGTTTGAATGTAAAACGGCATGGACGCCATGCGTGCTACACATGTGTTAAGAAAGTTCTCATTCAGTTGAATATCAAATATGCATTTCATGCACTTTATACAAACGAAACAAAGTAGGTTAGGTTGTTGCATCGCCACCACCATCATCAATCTCCACCACACTCGAACCCTGAGCCCGCAATCCTCTGTGGAGGCTTGCTGAGGCTCGATTGCACCACACCACTACCCCATAATCACCAGACCACCATCATCGCTACCGCAGTCATCATAAACCCTTACTATCACCACTATTCTCACCATAATCGTCACAAACTCACCATTATTCAAACCATAATTACCATTATCACCACCACACCATTATCATTAACACACCACCATCATGACCACACCATTATCATCTCCATTATCATTACACCATTATCATCACACCATTATCATCATCACCATTATCATCACCACACCACCGCGATTATCATCACCGATCCACCGCCATTATCGTCATTACCATTATCATCATCACCATTATCATCACACCACCATGATTATCATCACCGATTTATCATTATCATCACCATTATCATCATCACCATTATCACCATTATCATTACAACCAATATTCCTGATACCTACGTTTTACAATGCATATCATGGCATGAAACCCGTTTAATTCCCACTCAAAATTTGAATATAGAATGGCAGTGGACGTAATCCATCCCTTATTCTAGGAACTGCCCTCAAAACTCGAGGATTAAAAATTGACCCAAGTAATCGTTTAAACGCAGTTCTAAATGAAATATCCAGCCACCCATAGATAATTGGATTGATACACGAGCCGACAGCCACCAATAAAGTACATACGACGTCCACACTTTCAGGTATCTCGTACACCATTATAGCCACGGTGAAATTCACGAAACAAAATGGCGCCCAGCATAGCAGGAAAGCGGAGATAATGACGAATATTGTGATTGCCGTTTTATTTTCTTTCTTGATTCTGCGAAGTAGGCTCAGTTGTTGGACGCTGTTTGGCTCGCCAGGATTTCCCTAGGAATTTAAGAGGAGAATCTTTTGTATATAACGTTAACTAATGAATATAGCAACCACTTGAATATATTCAAATATTTAAATTTCTGATACGTTTTTCAAGCGGCAAACCCAACTTAAAAAGTACGTGTAGTGCTTTATCTGAAACTGAATAATGCTAAAATGAAGAGATTTTAGGATAGAATGCCAAAGAGAAAATGATGTCTGAAGTTCAGTAAGTTTTGCGATATAAATATGGCGTCAATTTTGCAGTATCAATGTTAATTGCATTTAAATTGGCAATATTTAACTATTATTAACTATTAAAAGGTTGTTAACTGTGTAAACTACGAAATAAAGGAAAGAAAAAGCAATTTTGAGAGCAACGCCTAAAAGATTTCAGATTTTTTGAACACTTTTTATCGCAAATACGTGACATTGAAAAAAAAATTGCCTCTTAAAATTTTCGCACGAAACTGAGTTATAAGATCGATCCCTGTTTGGTTCAGTGTTAGTCCAACGGGAAACAATTACTAACTATTCACAACATTATTTTATATTTTAAACTTTCAACAGAGACTGTTATTTATTTTGAAGCAAAGTGTAAGAGCAATCCATGTAAGCCAAATTATACAGCCCTTAGAAATTCGCAAAAAAAGCACCAAAGCGAAGCTAATCAGTCTTCTTTGCTAAATATAGCACAATATATAATACATGGTATTTTATTTATACTTTGCAAAACTTTTAGTCTTGAAGTATTTTATTAGGCAGCAGTGATTACCTTGGTTGAAATTAATTTTCGGAAGAAAAAGAATGCCGACAATTTTGTTTGAATCGATCTATTACATTAATCATTATCTATATTTTGTGCATGGATAATTATTGCTTAATATAAGGAAGTAAAACAGCTAGGCCACGGTGAAACATTATTTTATGATTATTAAAAGTGTCGATGGACCATTTGCATTATAGACTAAATTTTGATCTAGACAAAAATTTCATCACAACTTGAAAGAGCATCACAAAATTAGTAATATTCCAAAGTTTCGTTGCAAAATGTTGTAAAATGCGGATAATATAACCTTGCGAAGTTTGCCGTTTTTCAGTCATTTTGTATTACGCACGGGAAATTGACAGCCCAATCGGGTGTTGGGGCATCAATTTCCCGTTTGTAATCTAAAATGACTGAAAAACGGCAAATTTCGCAAGGCTATATTATCCGCATTTTGCACCATTTCGCAACGAAACTTTGGAATATTACTAATTTTGTGATGCTCTTTTAATTATTAAAGCTGTGATGAAATTTTTGTCTAGATCAAAATTTATAGTCTATAATGCAAATGGTCCATTGGAGAATACGCGAAGGCGTTTTTTCGGGTTTAAATTATTTATAGCTTGTGGGTGTCATTAACTTTGCTGAACTCGTTAATGAGAAATTAATTTAAAATCTGTGACGACTACACTTGTACGTTTATTATCACTGATATTAGAGAGTTTAAGCTTCGCGTCATACGGCAAACGCCAGGCAAAGAAAAATTTTACGGTATCAGACAGTAAAGAGTAAGTGAAATTGCTGTTTTAAAACTGAAATACATAATTATTCTTTCGACGCACGAAAAAAAAAAATGAAACGAAAACGTTCAACGAAAATTTTGCCATGAAAGTTCGAACCTGCCGTTCCCGGAAACGTGAAGCTTAAACTCCCTATTGTATGAGTTGCGGAAGACCTATAGCATTGTTAAAAATAATAGAAATTGCACGTATAAAATTTAGTCCCACCTGTAAAAACAGGTCAAAACACTGGGACAATAAGAGATGACGCTTTTATACGTTTTGTTAATATTTTTCTTACAATAACAATATGCAAATTAGGTAAATTCGCACACACACCCCTGCTCTGGAAAATTTTTCTTCACGAAAAATGTTCAGTTTATTCTACATTATAAGTACCCAAACAATCTATATTTATCAAAAATTTCATGAAATGAACGGATTTGTGAAATTGAGAGCCGTTTCAAAATTATCGTTAATGGATGATTTTATAGAGAACCATCACGTAAGAGCGGCAAAGATGATATACCGTATAACATTCGGCAAGATCAATTTAACGAATGAACAAATACTAGAACAAGTAGATTGGAAGCCTGTAGGTGATATAAATAAAAAGCGTATCTTGACTTTAATGCATGATGTATATTATATGAATGTTCCACAGGATTTGCAAAACCTATTCACACGGACTGCGAGAGTAGGAAGACGAAAACAGAATTTTAATGTGGTTAGGTGTAAAACCGAAAAACGAAGGACATCTTTACGGTACAGAGGTCCTATAGCATGGAACCAACTTGATAATGACACTAAGGCGATAGTTAATAAAATGAGGTATCTGAGGTATCTCTAAGAGTAAGAAGAAAGTTTTTAGTTTTCCCCCTAAAATATTTTCGGTTACATTTTGCAAGGATGGCGGCGCCCCCCGTTGATTTCATTGTAATAGAGGGAATCGTTTAGAATCGGGCTCCAGTCAATGTTATTTCTTTGATCTCATTTGCATATTCAGTGTTTAAAGAGCCGATGAAATTATTACCAAAATTATAATATACAAATAAATGTTCCTTTGATTTTTAAAGTAAATAAAAAATCTGCGTACCTCCCTGGGATAGTTGAGATCCCGAATCCTGTGTCTTTGACGTCTCGCTGCTTTAAATATCTTATAATACGAAAAACTGATGAAACCAAAACACACGTATATCCAAACGCCTATGAATACGAACGTCCAGAAACTTCTTCTGTAATCGATGAAGCAAAATCCTTTTTGCGGGTAGAATATATAATTCCCCCATCCGGTCAAGGGTACCAAAGCGATCAGTGCCGAAAAAATCCATTGCAGAACAAGAACGATCTTGATTCTTTTTGAAGTTATCCAGATTTCATATCGGAATGGTTTTACGATGCAGACGTATCGATCCAGGCTCAGAATCGATAGCGTCAATATTGAAGACAAGCAAAAGAGTATACCTAGAAAGCCATTGATTCGGCAGAGTATTGGATTGATACCTTTCTTGTCCATTAGAGTCGTTACGTAGTTCACTGGACAACAAAGAAGCGAGAAAAACAGATCGGAGAAAGCCAGGCTGGTTGTCGGAAGAAAGGCATGTCGCGCTCGCAAACTTCTCGTTTTTATCACCGCGAATATCGTCAAAAGATTGCCAAAGATCGATAGAATTGTGATTGGAATACCGAACAGCGAGAATAGGTAGCCCATTTTGAGTCGGAACGCTGCGCAATGTTTTATCAAATAAATCAAGCTGTGAGATTTTAGGCTTCGCAGCTGGATACTGACGTGTCGTCGTCGACAAGTTCTAAATACGTTGACGCATTCTCAACGCAGCCATTTGCAGCTTTAAATTAATGTACATGGGTGTAGAGAATAAATTAAAGTTTAAATATCATAGTGTGATGTTAATTAATAACCCTGGGTCAATTACAGTTCATTTGATCGATACATATATATTGCACATTTCATGGCCTAGGAAATAATGACATCGACACAAAAGGAAATACTACGCGCAACAATTAAACAGCCCTCGTTTATACGGTTATTACAGGGTGTCTCAAAACTAGAAATTCACCTTATTTTCATGTAAATTTGAATGCCTGAGTCCTATACTGATCCCATGGCCGGGGGGGCATACTGACGGAACTCGTTTCTAAATCGTTCAATTACAATTTTCATGTACAATTTCAATCTCGTTCCCAGGCTCTTACCTCTTGTGGAGGAAAGATCCAATCTCGTTCCCAGAGCCAGTGCCCGTTCCAACCCTAACCTGCGAACAGGCATGCTCTGGGAACGAGATTGGGAAAGAACCTGGTAGAAGCAGGTCACGTGATCTGCTAAAATCTGAAGATTTTTCATTAACTGTCTAGGATTCCTTTAAAATCAAATCAAACTTGCCAAATCAAATGCAAGTTATAAATTGATGTAAAAATATCAAATATTTATCAACATCGTCATCATTAAAAATCTGCTAGATTTTAGCCGATCACGTGACCAGCTCCTACCAGGGTCTTTCCTCCACAAGAGGTAAGAGACTGGGAACAGGGTTGGTACAATTTATGCAGTTGTAATATGGAGGAGTTTATTTCGCTGGCCTCAAAGTGACAAAACGTAACCAAGCAACTGTTTTACTAACACTAACCCTATTCCAAACACTAACCCTAACCCCAACCCTATTCCTAACCTAACCCTGCTCCAAGTTTGTTTCTAAACCAATCTTGAAGAAAAACGCTTTGACGAAATGTCATTCTGAGGTCAGCGAAATAGTATTTTCCTTGTAATATGCTTGTACGATTAAAATGCATTCTAAACACCCAAGAGGTAATGAAGTTTGGGTGTTTACAACAAAAGGGTGATTTCTAAAGGTTCACTTTTTTTTAGGCACCCTGTAATCTTCAAAGAAATCTCTTAAATATTTTGTCTCTCCGAATTCAGCTCAGCTCTCAACTGCAAGAAAGGATGTTTAACACACGGCCTACTTGCTAGTTATCTGCAGCGATAACCTATCGGGACAGTCGATCCATTTGAACGAACTTTTGCAAATTAAAGTTAAATAATATCTTGCACCTTTATATATAGCCTATATTCTAGTTAATGGGAAATGACTCGGAATCAATTAACAGGTTTCATAATTATTGAATACATGTAGATCTCCGGTCTTAATTTCTCATTGTTATTGCTCTGTTGGCCAATATCTTGAAATACTCTTTTAAATCTGCCATTATGTGGTGAAAAACCTTTTTACTTATATTGATAAAAGCCATAAGAGATGATAGTGTAACCAAATTCTGCCCGCCCATCTAAGATGATGCCTTCGGAGGAGGCTAGCCTAAATATACTTCGTATATTTTCTTTCTTCGTATAACTAATTTAGTTACCAATTCACGCACGTAACACAAAAGTATACAAATTTGCCAACTTTGAAGGGCTATATTTTCCGTATTTTACAACATTTCGCAACCAAACTTTGTAATATTACTAATTCTAAGACGCTCTTTCTAGCTGTGGTGATAGATTTCGTTGTTCTTACTTAGATTAAAATTTAGTCTAAAGCGCAAGTCGTCCATTGAGACAGCTCTATCGCTTGTCATACATTATTGGGTAAGCTAGTGCTGTTCCACAAAACCACACCGCTATCCCGAAAAACTATTTTAAAACATAGTCATAGTCTATCAAGTACGATCTGGAGACTCCGCCAAACTCTTCGGTTTGTTTTTGATCTTGTTCATGCAAACTTGCACATGACAGTGAAATTTGGGCTTAATGGGTGATCGTCCAATAGCATCATCTCGTCGAATAGCAAGTGAGCGGAGGGCAGGTGATACCCCACTCCCCAAAAGTCACCCCGTGGTCACAGGTTCGCTCCTGCCCCGGAGTAATTCGACACGGCAGTTATGGGTGCCGACCCAACTCGTCCAAATATAGGAAAAAGAAGTCTCTTAAACGCCAGTCTGAATGACGAATCAAGCCACGCATAGAACAAAGGGTTAACCATTGATCCGGTAGCCACCAACAGAGTGGAAAGAACGTCCAACCATTCAGGAATATGGAAACTTATTAACGCTGCTGTAAAGTTTACAAGTACAAAAGGCATCCAGCAAACCAGAAAGCCTGCTATTATGGCGAATATCGTTAATGCTGCTTTGTTTTCGTTTTTGATTCGCTTCAAGTTATTACGGTATTGTTGTCGCTCTGTTTTCGCCTCTGGGTTCGCTTGACTGCTGTGTTCTGCAGAGTTTATACCCTGAAAGAGAATAGAATTCAGACATTTTAGAAACTTCAGATTCATTTTAACTACGATCGATTAAATGTGATTCAACGTACCAAACACAAAATCGGTGGCGATCCGCACATACCACACCTATACTATAAATACAAAACTATACAACACACCACACTAAGCGAAACCATACAATACTACACCACAGCACACCATAACTATAATATACCACACCACACTACATCATACCACTCCATAGCACATCTCACCACATACGTCCATATCTTACCATATCTTACCATACTTTACCATATCACACCATATACCATACCACAAACACCATACTACATCCTACCACACCATAGCATACCATACATTACCATATATTATACCTTACCATATCACACCATATATTATACCCAGGGCCGGATTAACCACGTGGCAGATGCGGCATATGTCGCGGGCCTCGCGCTTTACTGTGCCACGCCACTTTTACGAGAACACGCCCATTTTTTATTGGGACACGCCCATTTTAGGTGCCTTGCGAATTTAGATGCCTCGCGAATTTAGGGACCTCGCGCATTTAGGGCCCCTAGGTTTTCATAACGAGGGGGGGGGGCTGATTGGGGGCCTCGCGCTGAAAATCTGCCACGGGCCTCGCGCGACGTTAATCCGGTCCTGATTATACCACACCTGACCATACCGCAACACACCATACTACATTATACCACACCATAGCACACCTTACCATATCATACCATTATTACCATATACTTGACCAAACCATACAATAACACACCATAGCACACCATACCTTACCACATCACACCATACTTTACCATAGTACACTTGACCACAACACACCATACTACATCGTACCACACCATACCTTACCATATACAGATACTTACACTATTTTCCGGCATAGTATTCTCAGGCCTGGTAGCCCTGACATTATTATTAGCCACAGTTAACGCTTGAATCTGTCGCTTTTGCCGTCTCGCCTCTTTAAATATATAATAGTACGTAAACGTTATGACTCCAAAACCAATCATGAACCATGCGCCAATAAAAAAGAATATCTCAAAATCCTTGTGGTAGTCGATGAAACAAAACCCTTTCTGTGGGTAAAAAATATATTTCCCCCATCCTGATAACGGCACGGCGGCAACAGAAGCCGCAAGAGTCCATTTTGTTGCAATGATTATTTTCACCCTCTGTGATGTCATCCAAATATGGTACCTAAACGGTGTTACTATGGCAACGTAACGATCAACGCTCACTATAGTTAAGGTCTGAAGTGACGTCATACAGAACATCATTCCCAAATACCCATTAATAGTACAAAGTGGCGAATTCCATTCTTTCATTTCTAGTACTGTAGTTATGAAGTTGACAGGGCAAGATACTAGAGAAAATAATAAGTCACAACACGCCAAGCTTGTGATCAGTCTCACCGCGTATCGAGAACGGAGTGCCCTTGTTTTAATCACCGCCGTTATTGTTAAAATGTTTCCGAAAAGAGAACAAATTATGATGATAGGATTGAGAATTGTAATGGCAAGAGCTGTTGTCATCTTGTCTTGATGCTAACCGCGAACGTTGTCACCGAATGTATATAATATTCACTTGTTCACGGCTGGACTCATTCAGTAATGTTGACCTCGAGCGAACTGCTTTCAATGAAATTCTGAATTCTTTATGCCTTTTGAAGCTTGTTTAAACAGCTTTGAAACGTGTCGACGGTTCTTCTTGTCGAACTCGGCTAGCCTTTCGTGATTTCGTTTTCCTAAAACACCTAATTCTTGAATATCCTTTGTGATTTTTTACTTTATCTCGCCCTTTCACACTTTGAAAGCTATGTTTCTTCAGTTGCCTTTAATCTTTTGCCATGTCTGTATACTCTGGCGTGAAACTGTTGCTAAGAAAGCCTCTCTTGAATTTGAAATCTTTGTACTACCCGCGCATGTAAACACACCACTTAAATATTAGGTTAAATTTTCGAGTGCTGGTCCAACTCGAAAAACTTGTCCAAGACGAAAAACTTCCTTGAACACCAAATTCAGAAATCTCTTAAATGGTTCAGTTAAAATTATATGTTCGGGTGAGTGGCTAAAACAATCCCCGATACAGACCAGATTTTCCCAGAAAAGTAACCACTGCGGTTTTATATCGCGGAACTCCAACAAATTATTCAAAGATTCTTGTGGTAGTATACCAGAATTTTATAGCTTTTTTCCTCATGAAAATGAAGATGGTCAGTAACAAAGACGGCACTTCAGGAAAAAGTATACAATAACCAAGACGATCTGTAGCAAAATATTCAACTTGCTTTTATAATTTTTGATCTGCAGTATATATATGCAGTTTTTTCCCCGTAAATATCGGGATCGATTGTGACTGTCTATACAATGCAGTTTATTGTACTCGATCCTTTAATAACACCAAAAGTAAAACAACGAATACAATCTATCTGCCTTCTCACTTTACCATCAAAACTGTGACTTGTGTACCTTTATATTCCTTAGTAATACCAGAGATCCCTTTGGAACACCAGTGAAAACAATACAGTATATCTTCAATAACTGCTACAGATCCGTACAAGGCTCAATGACGCAGTTGAAAAATCAAGGGAAAAATAAATTAACCAAAACCCAATCTTTTGCTTTAAACTCAGTCAAAATCTCGAAGTTTTGTGATTTTCTAACTTTTCTGCGAAGAAGATGTAATTTCTTTCTTAAATTTCAGGATTAATATCACCTCGATGAAATATAGATAAATGTCGCACTTCTTTCTTTTCTTGAAGAGGCGCGAACAAATATTGGTAGACTCTCTTGTACAGCTGTCTTTGTGACTTGCCGCTCGACAAAATATTGATGATTGATTCAACGACCGGCTTTCCTGTAAAGATAAACACAAGTTGATAAGAGAAAAACTGTCAAATTGGCTTGATTTTTAGACATCTGTCCGATACGGATATATATAGTTACACTCAGGACAAATAGCTTATCACTATTTTAAGTTTTGGTTTTTAGGCCTGACAGTTCCAATGATTCGGCTTTATACAAGAGACCGGTCATTTGTCAAGATGCCTCGGCTGTCTGACAGATCAAGCGTTTTACTGCAAACGCAAGACGATCTATCCAAACGAATTAGCTAAAATAACGTGATCAATGGACCAATCCCCAATTAACCAAAATTTTGAACTCAACAAGCCTAGACAAAAATTTCATCACAGCTTGAAAGAGCATCACAAAATTAGTAATATTCCAAAGTTTCGTTTTAAAATGTTGTGGTAACCGTTTCCCGCTCGTAATACAAAATGACTGAAAATTGCAAATTTCGCAAGGCTATATTATCCGCATTTTACAACATTTCGCAACGAAACTTTGGAATATTACTAAATTTGTGATGCTCTTTCATGCTGTGATGCAATTTTGTCTAGACTTGTTGAGTTCAAAATTTTGGTTAATTGGGGATTGGTCCATTCCAACAACAGTTCTTGGAACAAATTTATGTCTTATATTTTCATACTTATTACATATATACTTCCGCTGTCTATTTTATTCAAGAGATGGATCATCGATCACTCTAACATGTTTCCGACAAATCGTCTGTCCTAGTGTTTACACAAGATAAACGATCCACACGAATTAACTAGAATAGCATAATGATCTATAATGATTCCGAGCACAAATCATGCCCAACGTTTCCCTGATTACACACGTAAAAACGCGCAATTGTTACAGATTTACAAACGCGTTGTATGGAAGGTGTTTGTCAAGTCGATATCAGGATGTGTTCTGCTTGTTCACAGTAAGTTGACAAGTCTGGAACAAGCTGTTATGATCAACTTGTTACAATTAAGGTTGATGAGGCCATCAGATTCAGAACAAGTTGTTCCAACAAGTCTGATGTCGTCTGCACGTAACAAGTTGTTAACAAGTTGATGACAACAAGCACGTAGCGACTTGTTACGAACAGCCTGTATTATATAGTCTTGTTGGAACAATTTATAGCAAGTCTGTTATACCGTCATCGTTGTAACAAGGTGATAACAACTTGTTCCAGACTTGTCGCAACAACTGGGAACAAGCAGTGCGAACACATCCTGATATCGGCTTGGCAACTTTGTTACAACTTCAGACCAAGTAGCCTAAATATGTATGTAAACACTACAGAACTTACGAGAAAGTAAAATATGCAATACAGAACATCGATCGATGAATTTGTTTTCTATATTTAACCAGAATATCACAATTTTGCCGCTTCTTTTTCGGTTTATTCGATTTTTCGGTTTAACTGATTAACGGCCCCTCCCACTAATTTCGGTGTTCCAAATTTTTCGTCTGTTACAAGTGATAAACATTTGCCAATTTGCGTATAGATTTTTGTATTTTAAACACAATACATAAATTTAGCTGCATGTCGGATATATTTTCAGAAGCATCTTTTATTGACATGCATGAGATATCTCTTGCACCATGTTGATAGCAACAGACAAGTCTGAAAATATTGTAGTCATTGCCCTTGTATTTTTTTAAATGAGCGGCTTCGAATGTATTGCCACAGCTCACAAGACTCACAATATATGCACTCGAATGAGTCCCTTTGAATTCTACCGAAAGATAGCATTAAATTGGTAAATGAATCGCGCGCTTTAAATTGATGCGTTTTTCAAAAATACAAAGCCTAGAATATTAAATTGGTTCTCGGTGTAATGACGAAATCGCGCCGACTTTGAGAAAAAAAAGACACGAACGATTTAGAACAAAAACATATGTCATGTGAAAACCAGATTATAGTTTATCCTATATACATTTGAATTTAAAGAATGCAGTTTAAATTGATGGCTCTGCCCACAGGAACGAAAATAGAGTAGCTTTTGAAGGAATAAGTCTATGGGCTATTGTGAATCGGTATTGTCATACTACATTAGCATATACTTTAAAGGAATAAACCTATGGAGTATAGCCATACTACTATGCTAAGATACCTTAAGAACATCATATTTTGTATTGCTAACTTAACAGTAAACTATCGGTTTTGCATTCTATTTAGTGAAAAAAATTTACTAGGATCTTTAAACTTAAAATTTTCATTGGATCTGCAATGTAGATATGTGTTACTCATTGTCTGAAAAAATGTAAAAATTTCGATAATTTCTATGTTTGAAACGAAGTCTTTCCTCAAGCTAGAGGTTAGAAGGATTCATTTTTCGTCATATACAAAATCTTGATTCTTCAATGCATGCCACGGTTTAATATATGGTGATACAAAATATAAAATTAGATGCATTCTCAAAAGATTTTAGACAATTTATTTTTCGCTTTGCTATGTATCGTGAATTAGCGATAAAAATATATACATATGTATTTAAATATATGGCTATAAGAAGCGATAAGTGCAAATCAACGTGGGGTAAAAATGGCATCGCAGCTTAGCACAGCTGCAAAACTCTAAACAATCGAAGTAAGGTTGCCTTCATATAAGAATATAAACGATATTAACTAAAAATGAAAGTATGAATACATACTGTTTTAGTGTTTTAACACAGCCTTTAGTTGCCTTGAATATTTCCTGCCACGAAAGCTTTGTAGTCTTGATATCTTTTATTTTAATAATAGCTGATTTTTAATTTTGTATTAAAATGATAATTGACAGGTTTACGCAATAAGATTGCAAAATGCAAAAGTTTTCGAAAATTCTGTTAGCTTTGCTCTCAAGTGCAGATGTAAACTTGTCTATATACGCGGTTATGTATACAATGTTGAGATGTTTTTTAGTTTGGGAAACGTATTTTTTTACAATGTGGTGTGTTTCTGGTTTTTTTTTGTATTTTATGCTTATATAATTGTTGCTACGATACGTTAATATCACGTCCCATATGACTTGTAATTATGCGGTAATGTTTAATTAGAACGGTTAAGGTTTTGATTAAGGAATTTTAATTCTCATATATGACATGTTGCAAAATTGACAATCTTCTTATCTGTATTAGGGATTTAAATATACTACTCACTAAACTTAAAAAACTACTAGAGTACTATACTAGTGTTTTCTGCTTTCCTCGCCCAGCAACACTAAACCAAGAAGCATGTCCCAATGAGAGATGTCTAATTGAAAGATGTCTTGGGCTGGTATTCCAAAGGTCGTAGGTTCGATTCCCACCGTGGCCAGGCATATTTTTCAAGCCTGCCCGGTGTGGATATACACTCAGAGTAACATCACAAGCATCTAGTTCTATAGGTTTCCTTCTATAGTAACTGTCTGTAATACTGGATCGATAAGAGACGACCCTTACCGGACCTCTAGGCTCTAGGGAGAACAGTTTAGAACTGATAGAGCTATTCAGTCTAAGTAAAGTTAG